AACCAGAAATGGCGCGAGCAGTGGAACAAAATCAAGAGGCAGTACCTGGAAGAGGCTGATGCTTCGGACCACAGTGGGCAGGAACTGGCGAGGATGCGCTGCTCCTGGACACGTACAACTTGGTGGGTATTTCTTGCAATAAACCTGCCCCGCTTGCTGTTGCGACAAGTGCGGCGATCGCCTGGGGACCAGACTGGGGAAGAGTTTGAAATTGGACTTGTTTGGGTATGCGCCATGGGGCTGGTGATAGTGTGGTGTCCACGACTGATCAATCCCTGCAGCCAGGATGTCTTGTACATGATGGCGGCCTTGGGCATGGATGCTGCAATTGTGATTGCGGGGTTGTTTCACAACATCGATGTCAGGGACGTGATCACTCTCACCTTTCCCGGCCGCTTCATGTATGCGGTGCTGGCGAATCGCGCGTCCTGCGTGGTCTTTTGCATAACCGCACACTTACTCCAAGCAATCCACCTATCCGTGGCGAGGCACGCCCAAGATTCTCAAGCTGCAGGGTCGGGCGTCACCATCCCAGATTTGCTCGCCATATTTCTGGCGATGTTTTGGGGCATTTTGGCTGTTCGAAGGCTCCTGCTGGAGAATGTGCTCCTGAGGGTGGACGTGCAGAAGCGGACTGTGGAGCTGGGGGCGGTCTCCTCCTTACTTGCTGCGTGCTACGATGCAGTGCTAGAGGTGGATCAAGGATTAAGGCTCGCACACGACCCTGGCTGCAAGCAGTATGTGAAACGTGTTGCTTCATGTTGTGTCAGGTTTCAAGGTGTTCAGAGCCAGGCAAAAGCCCACACCTTCCAAGCAAACCAAAAGTAAGCCTCTTCAAAGTGCGGGACGTGTAGGGGGCAACTCCGCGGTTTGCTGCGACTTTGCAAGGATTCGCCCCAGCTCTCTTCCATGCTATTGCGAACGCAAAGGGCGTCAGGTCTGTCTGAGGAGGTGTTGCCGAACTTGTTTCACGAGGAGGACAGGGCTCGCATTTCGGAGCAATTTCGGACTTCCACCAGCCAATCTGCAACGGCGTTGAATGCAGACATACTGGACTCGGATTTCAACCGTGTGAAGGTTGAGCTGGTATGCGTGCAGTTCGACAACTTGACAAATGACAGGCCATGGGACAATCTATACAACTTTTTGGGGTCCGGATTAGTAACAAGCGCGCCCCCCTCAAACATAAAAATGGGGGGGGGGGAGGTGGGGACGAAAGCGGGAGTACGGGAGAGGGGAAACATGAACAAAGGATTGGTTGCAACACGTAGAAAGGCGCAAAACTTCATGTCCTGCTGGGTCCTCCGTCTCCGAGTGATTTCTTTGTTTTTCCGTTCTCCAGGTGATTTCCAAGAGACCCTCTGAAAACCAGTTGCCTCAGGTGGTTCAAATGCATGAATCAGAAAGCAGGAGTGGCAGGCAAATTGCAGAGTGAACATCAAAAACTATGAGTGGTTCTTGGGGGAAACAATTGGAAACAAGTCTTGTTGTCTTTTTTCTTTGTTAGGGCCCGCAATTAATTGTACAAACTCTGTACACTGTCCCAGCAATTATGCAGCTCTGCGCACTCGAGTGGGTATTCCACTGATTTTATTTTGCACTCTCCGGAAACTCCGTCTTTTTTTGATTTGCGGGAGTTTGCGCTGAGTTTCAGGTGTGGTGCTTTCCGGTTTTGCCAATTTGCCGCACAAAGACAAGAATTCCGAATTCTGAATAATTCTGATTCAGAATATGTCTGAATTGGATTCCTTCCGTCAAGTACCGAATATTTGCGATTTCTAGGGGTTTCAGGTGTGCATACCCTTTCCAGAAGCGACAATCAATTTCTAGGAGTTTTACCTCAAAAGCCCGGAGTTTGAAAACTCCGTTTTTTTTTCACTGAGACCCTCAAAAAAACTGTAGTCTCCGGATTTTACGTGAAATTTCCATAATTTGGAAGATCCAGGAGAGTTGTTGTAGTGTCGCTTGGGCTGACCCAGTGCTGCTTTAAACATTCGAGCGCGCGCACCGCGAATCGGTTTAGTATTTGCTTAGTTGTGCACAGTTTCATCCCCTTAAAGCATGTTTTAGTGTTGGCTTTTGGAAAATCACGCCTTGGATGAATGGACAGATCGGATGCTTTCATTGCAAGCATTCGGGCAAATTGGTCATTCATCCTGTCCAACGGTGGTGAGCTCTGGCAAGGGATGGCAAGGGCATTTGCGACGGATGAAGAGGTTGACAAGGCCACGGATGACGTCTACGCCTTCAGTAACCGAGAAGAAGTTTTGATGGAGCAGGACACGGGCAAGAGCAAGAATCATCACGGCGGCGGATTTGCGTTTTTGCGACTGGTGAGTCATTCCCGGCGGATGCACATGAGGAGCGCAAGACTTAAGCAGCAGCGGAGAGGCCAAAGCTCTGAGTGTGAATGCCTGAGCATCCTGAACGTTGAGACTGCGAAGGAGCTGCAACAAGAATGCGTGCAATGGGTCTGCAGACTTCAGGACTCAAGGCGCCTTTGGTCTTCCGAAGAAGAGCCATTTTCGTCCAGCTCGGAGCCCTGGTCGAAACAATTTCTGCGCCGAGGAGTGTCGGAGCCGCGCAAAGATGTGGGCTACGCGGCTACGCGGCTACACCCTCAATTTCCGCGGCAGGAGCAGTTGAAGCTAACTGCATATGTCTCTCCCCGCTGGCAGAACTGCCGTTTGTGACGCGGATGCGTGAAAGTTTAAAGGTGTATGAAAGTGTAGCTTGTCTGAACATCCTATGGTTCTTCGTCAGAGGATGCGCTTCGGCACTCAATGCTTCGAGCAGCCGGCTGGGCAATAGCTCTCAAGGTGCGGAAGTTCACTCACATGGCAGACAACCAAAGCCTGAACTTTGCAGGCTGTGCGACTGTTGTAGTCGCTGCTAGAGGCCACAAACTTGGAGCTTATTATGTGGACAATGCTTGCACTTCATGTGTGCATGGCGGAAGATAAAGCTTGGCTGAGCAGTGGGCGACGCGCAACTTCAAGGACATGGCTGCCTTCGAGCCGTTTTTGGGCAACACACTCTGTGGAGCGTCTACATTTTGGATGGACAAACAGGCAGCCTATTGAAGGGAAGCGTGTGGGGCGACTCATGCAGATGTAGTAAGCAGGACAGCAACAAAACGTGAGCAATGCGCAATATTGTCCATGGTGGAGCACGCCAAATCAACATATATGTTCCGGCAGCGTTCCAGTGCCATTCGCCAAGCTCGCGCGAGCTGCTCTTCGGCTGGCAGGAGGGACAGTCGCGCTCAGCGCGTCGCCCCTTTGTCTGAAACAAGGAAATCAACAGCGCAAGAAGCGAGGTACAAGGGGTCTTTGCGCTCGGCGTGCGCCCTCCCCCAGTCGGGACAGGTCCGGTATGACCCGCGTGCAAAAGTTATCAACAGTGCAAGAAGCGATCTAAAAGGGTCCTTGTGCTCGGCGTGCACGCCCCCCAGCCGGGGCAGGTCCCCCACTACCTGCAGCGAGACGCCACGAGCGCAACCACAGACATAGAGACAGGTTGCATAGTTTTGCACAGACAGATAAGAACAAGCAACTGAAAGAGCAGAAGCTAAAGCCCAGGACACACTGCAGAAGGAATCAGCAGCAGAGGTCAGGCGGGCAAAGCGGGCAGCAAAACTGCAAGCAAAAGCAATCTATTCAGATGGAACGGCTCTGAGCTGTGAGAACACAAAATGAAAGCTTTAACTGCAGGCCGGCCCGAATCGCCCAAAGCCAGCGGCTCCGCACACAGCAGCCACACGCAGGTTCAGCGGGTCAGACAACTCAGACATGGCAAGGCCATTGTTAATGACAAATAGCTGCAAGGGCCAATGTAGTCATGGAGATCGGCTTTTGGTCTTTGAGCGACAAGAGCGGCGCGCTAACAGTGGTTTTGCTGGCTCCCTGGTGGTAATTGGTTTGACTCTACTCCTCGTTTAGTTTGCCATACCGGGTCATTCTTTTCTTTTCTCACCCCCATGACAGGCAGCCAAAGAGGCTTCTCAGCGAACAATCCTCTCTGAATTTCCCTGTTTCACGGCAGGGAAAAAATCAAGAGAAGGCCTCAATGTGCACCATGTAGGGCGTTGCACGCTGTCAGGTGCTTCCTGGTGGGTATACGTGAGATACAGGACTTTGAACGTGGTTCGCTTGCTGCAGCTCCATTGCATCCACCCACCAGCAGCGCTGCGGATTTTTGCCTGGTTTTCGACTTGCAGTCGCTCGAAATCCAAATCATGAGTGATGGGATGAAGCAGTTGTGCAAGTCGTTGCACCCGAGCGACAGCATGCCGGATGCTTGGACACAATGGGGCAGCGCTTTGGCATTAGTGTTTTGGTTTCCTGGGGAGAAAGAGGTAACGGGCCACGGAAGGTTTTGTACGCCAACTCCACAAATTCCAGAAGTTCCAATGGTTTAATTCGATGTCCAAGAAACCAGACGGGTGGTGTAACTCCCCGTGAGTGCAAGGACAGCATTCTGGACATTGTAAGCCCGGAGAGCCACTTGTCTTTGCGCAGTCAACTGCAGCGCCTGAAGGAGTCAGACGAGGAGAGACGGTTGTTGGTTTCGTGTGGTTTCCTGCCTAGTAGGGTCGTTGTTTGCAATTGGATTTGGCTTGAACCGCAGACCCACATATTGATTCACGTCCCTTTTCATGAACTCGTAGCAAGGACTGTACTCATGAGAATCTACAAAACCATGTTCTCATTATCGACTTAGCATAGCTGGGCCATGCGTTGAGCCAACCGGAAACTGTCAGATGGGACGTTTGTCCATTCCCCAGGCGGCTGCTGTAACCTTAAAGCTGCTGGGATTTGGCGAGCGGCAAGCGTCCGTGACCAGGGAGTACGACCAATTTTTGGAGCGCTGGGTTGCCAACATGTTTATTCCCACGGCGACTTTGACTCAATCCAACCTCCGAAGTTTACCTGACGAGCGTGGGCGGCATTTGGGACGTGGACGCTCCGACCACTCAAGCCTGAGCTCTCGGAGCTCGCGATCCCGGCGTTCCCGTTCTCTTCGATCCAGCTCCCGGGCTGAAAGCCGTGCAGCCGACCTCGCTGGGTCGATCACTCAGCTGCATGTGACCAAGATCCCGCTCTAGCAGTCTTCGAGACAGAGCTCACGCGGGCTGATCCTTAGCCGCGCATGCGGATGACATGTTGCAAAGATGAAGCATGTTGTAAACTCAACAGGAATAGACAAGCTTTTTGCCATCCATGGCTTGTGCAATCGAATTCGACCCAGCTTCCCGATTCGTGGCCCATCGCATGAAATGCAAAGCCATAGCTTTCGGGATCACAAATGCGCACATTTGCCATTGCCGTGCTGCGTGCTGCGGCTGGGTTAGTACCTCCATGCAGGTTAGCGTGGAAGCCAGACAGGCATCATCGGTTAAGGAATCTCTTTTGAGATTCTATGTCAATAATTGTCTGGAGAATGTTGTCAGTCATATCTCAAGGTTTTATGTTCCTTCCTGTCAGCTTCTCCATTCGTTGAGTTGTGTTTGTCACGCCGTGATGAGCCTGCCGCGGCCGGCAGGTGCAATATTCAGAGCAGATATAACTAAGGTAGCACGAGTACAATACCGCTCAAGCATGTACTTTGCTGTTGTTCTTGTGAATGTGTTGGCGTGGTTTGTGTTTGTGCGTTTGGCTGCTTGCTTGCTTTCCTGCTTGCTGCGTACTTGCGTGCTGCGTTTTAGTTTTGTTTGGTTGTGTTTTCGTTGTTGGCCTTTTGACCCAATGAACTGTAAATGGTATGTTGTTTTTGAGTTCCCTGTTAGGAACCCAGGGACCCAGGGATATGCCAAGGGTCCCAGTATGGCCCCGTAGAGACACGAAGGGCGAGTCAGGGAGCATACTATAAGCTTTTGCGCGTGAGGAGCAGCAGCTCAACATGCGCTCCATGGTCTCAAGTCCCGATTAGGCAAGGACCATGGTTGCAGGACAAGTCTCTGCAGTTGTTATCCCGATTCTTCATCGAGGCCCCGATGACCAGATTATGATATTTGCTGCCCCCGTGTTAAGTGCATGTGCTAGTGCTAGGCAACAACCACAAGGAGGCCAAACAGCACCTGGCAGCTTTTCAGCTCCTTGAAAAGGTCCCTTGCCATGAGCCGCACGGCATGGACGGCCTCGGCACCATCTCCCGGGAAGAAGCGGAGCAACGCAATGGGCTCTATCTGGGCGCCTCCAGGCCGGCGAGTCCCGAATTGCCAGTTCCATCTTCGAGCTGCGAAAAATCGGGGGTTCCGTTTCGCCTTTTTGAAGGAAACCACCAGTTGGTTCATAGGGGTCACTTCCTCATTCCCTGCTGACCAGCAAGAAAATGCATTTCGGATTTCTCTTTTGGCGTCTCGTTGCCGCAGTCAACTCATCCGATCTTGTTGCAAGAATGCACAGAACAGGGTCAGCACCAGCATGCAGTCCCTATCCATTGCGTACTGTTGTTCCACATTGTTCCTGCGCTCAGGGCAGAACACTTAGAAGAGTCTGCGCTTTACCAGATTGGGGTGTGACCAAATCCCTGCACTGGATCTGCACGAGTAGAAGCATTTCGCAGCCCCCTTGAGCTAGGGCATTGGGGCCTTGTAGCGGCACTATCATTCTGCAGCGCCTGAGCCTTTCGACCCCACAAGGTACGGGCCCCATCAAAAGTGGAATCCTGGAAGCATTTGCAACAAGCGTCAGAATAGCGAACTGTTGCACCGCTGGCAGCCTGGATTCAGGACCGTGCTGATCAGGGTTCCCCATGCATTACAGGGGTCACGGACACGGACACGGACACGGACGCACACGCACAGGCGCACAGACACACAGACACACAGACACACAGGCACACAGACACACAGACACACACGCACACAGACACACACACACACACACACCCACTCACACACCCCACCCACCCACCCAGCCACCCGCACGCGCGCGCGCGCACGCACGCACGCACGCACGCACGCACGCACGCACGCACGCACACACGCCTGCACACACGCCTGCGCGCAGGCACGCACGCACACACGCACGCACGCACGCACGCACCCACACACGCACGCACGCACGCACGCACCCACACACGCACGGACGCACGCACGCACCCACACACGCACGCACGCACGCTCAGACACACGCACAATCACACAGACGCTCACAGACGCACACAGACGCACACAGACGCACACAGACGCACACAGACACACACAGACAAACACACACACACACACACACACACACACACACACACACACACACACACACACACACACACACACACACGCCCACACGCCCACACGCCCACACGCCCACACGCCAAAACGCCCACACGCCCACACGCCCCCACGCCCACACGCCCACACGCCCACACGCCCACAAGCCCACAAGCCCACACGCCCGCACGCCCGCACGCCCGCACGCCCACACGCCCACACGCCCACACGCCCACACGCCCACACGCCCACACGCCCACTGACCCAACCACACGCCAACCATCGCCCCCACGACCCCCACACGCTCCCACGCAGCCCACGCACAGCACACGCACACCAGCACCACACACACACACAGAGGAACACCCACACACAACACCACAGAGTTCCACACAGAGGACACACACACAGAGACAACACACAAGAGACACCACACACCGAGGAAGGAACACCACACAAGAGACCACAACACACAGACACACAAAGACACACACAGACACACACAGACACCAACAGACACACACAGACACACACAGACACACACAGACACACACAGACACACACAGACACACACAGACACACACAGACACACACAGACACACACAGACACACACAGACACACACAGACACACACAGACACACACCCACACAGACACACACAGACCCACACCCACACCCACCCCCACCCCCACCCCCACCCCCACCCCCACCCCGACCCCCACCCCATGCACGCACGCACGCACGCACGCACAAGCGCAGACATCAACGGCGGGGATCGCGATTCCCCAGCGCTTGCAGATTTATATTGAGCTAGGGTCGGACTATGTGAGTACCGGGATAGGGTCGTACTTATAACTTGAGTTATAAGTTACTACAAGTGGACTTATAACGCGGGACAAGTGGACTTATAAGTTTGCTAAGTCCGAGGATAGTTATAAGTTACTTGTCTATGTTTAACTTAGATAGGCCCACTTATAAGTTCGAGCTAAGTTCCGGGTGCCGGGACTTAGAATGAACTTAGCTGGGACTTAGCTTTTTAGCACCAATTGAGGAAAACAGCCTTCGGTCATTCAGCGCTTGCGAAGCAATGTCCCAAACGCGTCTACCTCGCTGAGTCTACGCCTGCGTGCGAAAAAGCACGCGTGCGCTACCCCTGACATGTTGCGGACCACATCGCTGAACGAGAGAGAAAGCCTGACACCGGACTACGCGCGCGCGCATCATTTTTCGAGACGTACGGTCGCTCCCGGCTAGACCGCGCAGGGCGGAACACGGCGTAGCGGCGGCGGGGCCGCTTCCATGTTTGGAAAACACATCGCGGCAGGACCGCGCAGCGACCATCGCGGCAGGACCGCGCAGTGAGCCATCGCGGCAGGACCGCGCAGCGAGCCATCGCGGCAGGACCGCGCAGCGACCATCGCGGCAGGACCGCGCAGCGACCATCGCGGCAGGACCGCGCAGCGACCATCGCGGCAGGACCGCGCAACGACCATCGCGGCAGGACCGCGCAGCGACCATCGCGGCAGGACCGCGCAGTGAGCCATCGCGGCAGGACCGCGCAGTGAGCCATCGCGCATGCAGTTTACGCTGTTTGTTCGCGCTGCTTCGCACGCTTGGCTCGATGGAGCCGGAGCATTTTTTGCACTGATTGACTCGGTTTAATTTTGTTGTCCAATAATCGTTTCTATAGCGGTGTCTCCGCTGGCGGCCGGTCCGCCTTCATATAGTCGCATGGGGTGGTTTCTCCGCCGGCGGCCGGTCCGCCCATTTTGCTTTTCTCGTTTGATGATATATCATTGTAGCGGTGGTTCCGCTGGCGGCCGGTCCGCGCCGGTCCGCCAAGCTTTTTTTGCCACGTTCATTTTCATTTCGAGATGGCACTTGAAGCGGTTGTCCGCTGGCGGCTGGTTCGCCCAGGAATTGTTCGGCGTGATTTTTATTTCGAGATGGCACTTGAAGAGGTGGTCTGATGGCACCTTTCGATTTTTTTGCATGTTTGGATTGTGAGTGCGCGGATGAAAGGCTGCAAGACTCAATCAAGGCTCCAGAATCCAGACTGCTGACTGCAAACTCCACACTCCAGACTGCAGACTCCAGACTGCAGACTCCAAACTGCAGACTGCAAACTCCAGACTCCAGACTGCAAACTCCAGACTGCAGACTCCAGACTGCAGAGTCCAGACTGCCAACTCCAGAATCCAGACTGCAGACTCGAGATTCCAGATTCCAGACACAATGACTCCTGGCTCCAGGATCCTGATCATTTTGTGGTGGAATTCGGCCACGGGGCCAAGTTAAGTTATGTTAAGTCGTGGTGACGCAACTGGGCCTCACGGGGAAAGTTTGGCAGTTAAGTTGATTGAGTTACAATAGGGACTCCACGGCTCCACACGACCCGCCCAGGTTAAGTTAAGTTTTGTTAAGTTCGAAAAAACTGCACCGGCCTTTCCGGGCTTTGGGGCGGGGCTGTCTGGATGCTGGATTCTGGGGTCTGGACTGTGAATTCTGGAGTCAGGAGTCTGGATTCTGGAGTCTGCAGTCTGGAGTCTGCAGTCTGGAGTCTGGAGTCTGCAGCCTGGAGTCTGCAGTCTGGAGTCTGGAGTCTGCAGTCTGGAGTCTGGAGTCTGGAGTCTGCAGTCTGTCTGTGGAGTTTGCATTCTGGAGCCTGGAGTCTGCAGTCTTGATTCTGGAGTTGGCAGTCTGGAGTCTGGAGTCTGCATCGGGAGTCTGGAGTTTGCAGTCTGGAGTCTGCAGTCTGGAGTCTGCAGTTTGCAGTCTGGAGTCTGCAGTCTGGAGTCTGCAGTTTGGAGTCTGGAGTTTGCACTCTGGAGCCTGGAGTTTGCAGTCTGGAGTCTGCAGTCTGGAGTCTGGAGTGCAGTCTGAAGTCTGCAGTCTGGAGTCTGCAGTCTGGAGTTTGGAGTTCGCAGTCCGGAGTCTGCAGTTTGGAGTCTGCAGTCTGGAGTCTGCAGTCTGGAGTCTGCAGCCTGGAGTCTGCAGTCTGGAGTCTGCAGTCTGGAGTCTGGAGTTTGCAGTCTGGAGTCTGCAGTTTGGAGTCTGCAGTCTGGATTCTGCAGTCTGGAGTGTGGAGTTTGCAGTCAGCAGTCTGGATTCTGGAGCCTTGATTGAGTCTTGCAGCCTTTCATCCGCGCACTCACAATCCAAACATGCAAAAAATCGCAAAGTGCCATCAGACCACCGCTTCAAGTGCCATCTCGAAATAAAAATCAACGCCGAAAAATTCCTGGGCGGACCAGCCGCCAGCGGACAACCGCTTCAAGTGCCATCTCGAAATGAAAATGAACGTGGCAAAAATAGCTTGGCGGACCGGCCGCCAGCGGAACCACCGCTACAATGATATATCATCAAACGAGAAAAGCAAAACGGGCGGACCGGCCGCCGGCGGAGAAACCGCCCCATGCGACTATATTAAGGCGGACCGGCGCCAGCGGAGACACCGCTATAGAAACGATTATCGCACAACACAAATCAGTGCAAAAAATGCTCCGGCTCCATCGAGCCAAGCGTGCGAAGCAGCGCGAACAAACAGTGTAAACTGCATGCGCGCGCGCCTGCCCTGCTGCGTTGAGTCACACGAAAATGTGTGCTTTCCAGCGCGTAATGCTTCATCACTGCCATGCTTCAAAACGCATGTGCTTGCCAACTCAATGAACTTAGAATGAACTTAGCGGACTTAGAAAAACCTCTTTTCTAAGTTCAAGATAAGTTACTTATAAGTCCAAGCTAAGTGCTAAGTCACTTATAACTCCAGCGTAAGTACGACCCTATCCCAGTATTCATCCTGGACATGCCAATTAATAGGGGGGCCATTTGACTGCACAGGATGGGGATTCACACATATGCATACGAGAGCCCGCTTTCAATATTTTGTTTTCCAGCTGTTTCCCTTCACAAAAGCCAGTCACTCATTGTGTTTTTCCGGGGGGGGTACCTGGAACACATGGGTTTCAAAACAAACATTTTGGAAGGATCCCCTTGTGCTGTTGGAAATCGTGGTTCGCCAGCCCGATACGATTAGAGTTGTCCGTGCTTCTTGGGATTCTTTGCCCTCCTCCTTCGTGATAGCTGTCAACTTTCGCCCACACACACGGCTGATGAACACTATCAGATGCGTCCGGCCTCAGGAGTTCATATGGTGGTCGAGCCGCCTCCCAAGTTGAAGAAACCGAACCCAGCTAAATGAACCTACTAGCATCTACTATCTCGCAGAAGGCCGCAGAAGTCCAAGCAGTTGTCGCATACTGGGACGCATTTGCCGGTTGTCATTCGTGCCGGGCCCTGGGGAAGCTTTGCACAGCTTCTGCATGGGTTTGAACTAACTTTGGTGGTCCGACGTGGTTCCGACTAACTTTGGTTGTTACCGCTTTCCGCCCACTTGTCCTTCACCTTGCTCCTCCAGAAGCCGAACGATCAACACCTAGTTATTTCCGGTTAGTGTGGTTGTTTTGACGGCTGTCCAGCTGTTGATGTCACGAAGACGGATTTGGACAAATGAATTCCACCAGCTTTTCTGGGTTTACAACAAAACGTGTTCGCATTCGTGAGGGGGTCCCTGGTGAGTCGCATCCTCAAAGCAAGGGCTGAGTTATCATGTTCGCGCCTCCCGCACAGGAGCTTCGCGCCCGGAGGAGGAAAGGCATGTGGGGATCAAAGACGGACAGCGACAGCGAGGATAGCGAAGAGCCTTGGTCCAAGCCAGCGGACCCGGACTTTCCTAGGCCTCTTGTTCAGTCAGTGGAGTTTGGGGCTGGCGTCAGAGGGCAAATGCACCCCCCCAACCTCCCTGTCGTCAATCCAAACCGCCAAACAAAGGGAGGTTGCTTGGCTGGTTATTCTCTGGGCATGTTGCGAGGCGTGTTTGCTTTCTTGTTTGTGTAAATCGGTGTTTTGTTTTTTCTCCCGAAAGCATGGCGAAGGGTTCTTCCGTTTGGTTCACGGGAGTTATCATCATGAGAGTCATTGCAAAGAGTTATCATCATCAGAGTCATTGCGCAGAGTCATCATCATCATGAGAGTCATTGAGCACAGAGACATAGCACAGAGTCATTGCACAGAGTGATTGCACAGAGAGTCACTTGCGAGGCACAATGCTCGTGAGAGTCACTGGCAAGGAGCAAAGCTCGTGAGAGCCACTGGCGGGGAGCCATGTGTTCATGAGAGTTCTCATGAGAGGAGTTTTAAATTCCTTTCTTCTCTTCTTAGGGCGGCGGGGTAGGGCCGACAGCACTCTACGAAAACCAACCCTCTGCGGGGATCAGCGTGGTCGACATTAAAAAACAGGACTTCTTGCGATGTCTGATCTGCGCTCTGCGGAGATCGGCGTGGTCGACGTTAAAAAACAGGACTTTTTAAGATTTCTGATCTGCGCGCGCGACCCTCTGCGGAGATCGGCATGGTCGATGTTGAAAAACTGGCGACTTTTTATGCTTTTTAACATGCCCGAGCGACCCTCTGCGCAGATCGGCGTGGTCGAAGCGCTGTCGCTGCGGCATCGTGCGAATTTGCAAAGTGCCCGATGAACCCTCTGCGGGGATCGTGTGTGTCGAAGCGCTCTCGCTGTGGCGCCGTGCGAATTTGTTGCTGGCGAGCTGGTCTTTGGATTGCGCGGCTGCTCTCGGAGTCGCACGGTCGCGGGTTCGATCCCCGCCTGGTCCCCGGCCGGCAGCTTTTCTGGACAGAAATCGCAACTTTTAAGTACGTACGTAGTACGTGAACGCAGCTCCGGCTGGAGAATCGCAACTTTTAAGTACAAATGTAGTACGCGGAGTACAGTCCCGCAGCTCCGGCTGCACAATGGAACTTTTCAAGTAGAATATACTAGTATGCGAAGTACTTCCCGAAAGCTCCGGCAGCACTTGCGCAGAGCAACTTGCACAGGGCGCTTACGCAGAGCAACCGGCGCAAATCAACTTCCACAGAGCAGCTAGCGCAGGGCAACTTGGGCAGAGCAAAAGTCAGGTTGTTCCGTTGGGAGAATTATTATCATGAGAGTCATTGCACAGAGTCATCATGAGAGTCATTGCACAGAGTCATCATGAGTCATTTGCGTTGTAGTCACTGTTTTGCATGAGGGCGGTATATGTGTCATCTTTGTGCTTGGCAAACTCGTGTGAGGGGTCCGATATAGGTAGCACGATAGCAGGAACAAGGTTAGTTGCTGGGACTTGTCGTTGTGTATTGCTCGTGACCAGTTCAGGTATTGCGAATCTGTGGCAGTGCTATCTCAGCATCGGCTCATATCGTGGAGCGCGAAGTAGCTAGACTCCAGGCAGGCGCGGCTCGTCATGGCCTGCCGTGGCCTGAAGGGGAAATCGCAGCCAAGCGCAAGAAGAGAAGGACATGGTCTGGGGCCTGCAGCAGCCGCGACGCGAGCGAAAGTGAAGTGCTCCTTTTGTTCCACAGTAGAGGAAACTCCTTCGAAAGTGAAGTACTCCTCTTGCTGTAGCTGCTGGCTGTTTGTAGCTGACAGATTGCACATCGAGCAAAAAACTTGCGCGGGAATGATCACGGGGCTGTGATGCTTTCGGGCCAATCGTGGTCTAGTGTTTAATTTTGTTGTTTCTTGGTTTGTTTATTGGTTTGTTGTCTGTCTGTCTGCCTGTCTGTCTGGTTTGTTTGTTTGTTTGTTTGCTTGTTTGTTTGTTTGTTTGTTTGCTTTTGTTGTTTGTTTGTTTGTTTGTTTGTTTGTTTGTTTGTTTGTTTGTGTGTTTGTTTGCCCGTGGTTGTGTTTTTTAGTGCTTGTGTTCTGTTCCGTTTGTGCGTCAGGCAGAGCACCTGCAGCCCGAGCTTCTGACTAGCAAGCCAGTGGCCAAAGTGGGGTTCATCCAACGCTCTATCTTCAAGGCGGTTCTACGTGTCGTGGTGCGCTGTCGTTGGTTATTCCCTAACCAATTTATGGGTACTAGATTCATGGGGTCTAGATTTGGGGGGTTTTTGGCTATCTCGAATTATCTCGAATTATCTCGAATTATCTCGAAGATGTAGGTCAGGTTGAAAGCAACTTGCATGTTTGGGATTTGTTTCTGCATTTTTTGTCATTTGTATGATGTGTGTCTTCATGAATGCCGTGCAATTTTGTTGTTTTGCATTTGCATTTTGTAAATATTTGTTCTAATGCTGACGCATGATGGTCGGTCATTGTGTTTTTCTGATCTTAAACCTGATTGCATCGGCTCGTAGCAATCAGGGGGCGGTGATGATGTCAAACGGTGTGTTTGTCGCGTTGCCTTCAGCTTCACCAATTTCAATCAATGATGTCCCGAATATATCATCAACCGAAATCCCTTCTGATCCAACGCATGGTGGAAGATGCGTATTACTACAGAAGTGACTGGACAGACATGGACCTGCATTTGGAAAAGGAGTGGGCAAGATTTGCAGAGGACGGGCTGGGCTATGACCAGGTGACCAGGTGGCCACTGGATGCAAGTGTGATTTACGAAAGCGAGAGTGACAGTGACCACCATGATCACTCCTGTCCAAATTCGAACGCTCTCAAAATCATGATTGGAAGCTTGGCTGTCGGGCTGCGGGTCCATGAGTTGGGTGAAATAAGTCAGGTCGGGAAACCTGTGCAGCCGGATTTGGTCGTTGCTTTGAATGCAGCTGACTGGCAGTACGAGCATGGCATGGAACGTGTGGAAAACACAGCAGCAGTAGATCGCCTAGCTTATGGCCTGTGGGATAAAACCTATCTACAGGGTGAGGAGTGGAACCTCTTCAAGAGCGACTTCAATCGGACTTGGCAGCACATGTATAATGACATCAAAACTACACGGGCTTGGACTGAAGGGCGTTGTCGCAGCATCTTGTTTCATTGCCATGGTGGAGCGCATCGGAGCACATCTGCAGCTGTGGCGTTCCTATTGATGCACCATCGATGTAGCCTTGAAACTGCAGTCCAATGCATTTTGAGAAAGAGAAAGTCGCTGCGAATGTGAGTACATCATTGAAGCTCTTGTGGCACTGGAACATTCGATCTTGTCAGAGACCTCTGAGACTCTGAGCCAGGTGTGAGTTTTGAGCTCCAACTTAGTTTCACCTGTGTGTGACAGGCTTTGCTACGAAATGAGCAACGACATGTGACATGTGTGTGTGTCACAACCCACGATCGTCCGTTCACACTTTTCATTTTTTGCATTGCCAAAAGTAATTAATTATTTGTCCCACTCCCTTCACTCAGAAAGTTGAATGACTGAGAGGCCTGGCTGGCGCGTTGATGCGACTTTGACTTTGATTCATGGACCTGTTACTGAGCTACTGACTCCAGGACGTGTTTGCAATTTAATTGTGCTACGGAAATTGTGTGTGACATTGTCGAGTCAACAAATGCATTGCTGCAATTCAATAGTTGGATCTGAGGGTGACTGAACCCTGCCCATAGTAGTGTTGAGGCCGCCTCGCTTCCAAGATGAAGCGCCCTGCTGCCAAAGCGATAATGAAGCGCCCTGCTGCCAAAGCGATGAAGAGTCCTGCTGCTGCAAGAATCGAGAAACGTCCGGCCATGCAGGTGGATGATGACGAGGCTGAGGACCTGGAATCTCTTCGTCTGATGCTTTATGGCCAGACTCAGAATGAGAACGACTTCCGCTTCAACAAATGGCATTCGTTGGCGCCAAAGGGTAAACGGATTTTGATCCTGGCAATCTTCAAAGTATTTGGCGCTGATGATAAGGATATTGAGGAAATGACGCATTTCAGCATGAGCCTGAAGGACTTGCAGATTCAGTGGAAGGACATTACGGACGAGTTGAAACGGAATTTCAGTGATAGTCGGATCCGCGGATATATCTCGGCGGTGGTTAGGTACCTTACGACTCCAGGTTCTTCAACTCATGTTGAATGGCTGTGCTTGGCTATCAAGGTTGCCAGTGCTGTCAGGGGAGTCACGGATCGTCTGATTGATTCAGAAGCCGAAGCAAGTTCAAGCTCTGAAACATCATTTGAGATATGACAATCTAACCCAGCAAGCCAAACAGTGTGTTCCTTGATTCCATGGCAGCACTGGTGGGATGTGGAGCCGGCGTGTTTGAAAGTGAGTGTTTGAAAGTTGTGTTACCAAAATTCCGACCTGGCAGGTGCTGGTGGCTGAATCTGGACTTTTGCATCATCAGTGTCAGGAACTCAGGCTTTGCGTTTGCTGTCTGTGACGTGTGTGCCATGACATCGAGTCAGTTGTTACTGTTACTGACATTGACTCAAGGAAAAACAGTGTGTTGGGTCTGCGCTTTTTGCATTGTGACGCCATGTCGCGCCGCACTGTTCTTGACGTTACTGCCACTCCGCTCGTCAAGAAGCAGAAAGATGAGAGCGGCGGCGCCAGCCGCAGTAACAAGATCTACAGTCACTGCGGGGCAGGCCCAACAGTTTTCTACATCCCAGTCATTGAAGAGGCCTGGCTCACAATTGGGTGGGACTGACTATGTTACATGTGTTGGCCAAGTTGCTAATTGACAGATTAAGGTGTTGAAGAAGACGGTTTTCACATTGGTGCTTTGTTGCTGGCCCAGTGCGCACTGTGCATTGTCTTGTGCTGGCAGGTGAAATATCTGTGGGGGACAAAAGATGTGAGCCCACTTTATCAGCCCGGCGCGCGCTACCACTTCTCGCTGCGCTCGGAACTCAAGGTGGCAGTAGAGAGGGGAACGTGGTACCGGATGGACAACCATCCTGAGGCCCAGTGCCTTAGCCTTACTAACTGCTGATGCATTGAAGAGTTCCTAATCCACTTCATATTCATATGTGAGTGTGACTGGGACAATGTGAGGCCGTGCTGGTGCTGCTGCTGCTGCTGTTGCTGCTGCTGTTGATGATGTTATTGTTGTTATTGCTGTAGTTATTGCTGTTATTGTTGTTATTATTGCTGTAAGTGTTGTTATTATGTTGTTATTGTTGGTTATTTGTGATGTTGTTTGTATTATTGGTCTTGCTGCTGCTGCTGCTGCTGTTTTTGTTATAATCTTTGTCTTCTTCTTTCTTTTATCGTGCTTCTTCTTCTTGTTGCTGTTGGTGGTGGTGATGGTGCACAGCTGCGAAATTACTAAAGACTGCTTGCTGGAATTGGCAAACAGGTCAACTAAAACATGGTAGTGTAATCTTGCGCAGACACAGTCAGTTGCCAGCTGAGTCCGGAGATCATCTACATCAAGATGTCCGTGACGAAGCTGGGAATGACAACACTTCAGAAGGACAAGATGCTAACCTGCCAGGGACAAGGCTGGTGGAGGTTTCACATGCCCATCAGCCAGATGATGTTTCTGGAAGAGGGCAACCCGGACTCACTTCTCTTCGAGTGTCTCCTATGCGAGACGTCCGAACGGCTCGAATGAGTGAGCCAAACACTGTGTTTAACAGTGTTGTGATTCATTCAGTCACGGGGGGCAGATGATGACTGGCAATGATTCAGAACATTAAATTGACGTTGCTGTCAAATATTAACCTTGTCATTCACATGTCACAGCAAAACCAGTCACGATCAACATCTGCATCTCAGACTGCGAATTGAAGTGACACTCAGTGACTCAGTCACTGTCACTGTCTGTCACAGACAGAGCGTTTTGATGCGGAAGGGAAAAGATAAAGACTAACCTGCTGCCATTGAACTTACAGAAGCACAAGTGAGAGCCATGTCATGTAACTAGGTTTTTAAAGGTCTGCAAGGAGCCCTCACTCACAGTCACGGTCAATGCTGTGTCGTGAACTAGTGGTGATTTCTGTGACCAGGTCCGCCAGATGGAGATGCTCATTTACGGTGTGCTGCCCTCAGCCAAAACTTGACATTAAAAGCCTTGAGTCAGGACTCAGTGTCATTAGCTTTCATTTCAGTTCAGCCTTTGTCAATCTTTGTGAATTGCCATGCCTGCAGCTGTGATATGATCAGGCCAGACACTGTGTCATTCACTGTGTCCTGTCTTTGCAGCCATGTTTCATTTAGTGATTCAGGAACTCAAGGCCCGCCTTGGCCAAGGCACACAAATCAGCGGGGCAATTGCCACTCCGGAGCCTAGCAGCCCAGCACCTGCAAAGCAGCATCACAAGGCTTTCCGCTCTGCCGGAACGGTGGCCCTTACTCTGCCTGGGCAACAAGGCCAGACAGTGTGTTATTCTTTGCGGTACAGATATCTGGGGGCCGGCTGTCACCGAGATGCTTACATGGTGAGTGATCTGAGGTACCCAGAAGATGAATTCAATAGGTTGGTGATGAAGGTGTCCAACAGCCATGATCGGTCGATGCAAGAAGACATCTGCTGCATAAATGCGGTGAGGGATCAGGCTCCGAGTTTGGCGAAATTCTTTCCTGAAATGCTAGCCTATCTCCCACACATGACGTGCAGGGGGATAAGGAGAGAATCGAGCCATTGCCTGCTCCTGCAAACTGCAATGGGTGATGGACAGAGTGTGGCAAGACGAGCGGCGGAGCTGACCCAGCAAGAGCTCTATGTGCAAGCAGCTCTTGTCATGATGCAGGGGGGCCTGTTTTTGTTGAATGTGCAGGAGGCGGCCTTTGACAATGCAAATGGCCAATTGATCACGGACCTGCACCCTGCCAACATTGTGGTCACAAAGCGGCTTGAAGGTGGCAGGCATGAGTTTGGCATATGTGACACCAACGGCCTCGCTAAAACCAGGCGAGGCCACCACCTGAATGCGTTTGCGTCGCAGTCCGGAGCTTTTCTTCCGCTCCAATATCCAGTTGGTGACGTGCGACCTCAGTTGCTCGACTGCCTTGCCAGGCCTGGCAATGTCCTGCCCAGCATGCTCAGCAATGGCCCTCCCTGGGTCACAGCAGAATTTGCGAACTGCCGGGCAGAATTTGAGCGGTGCCTGCAAATGCTGGGAGCAAT